GCGTCGCTGCCAGCGTCGCTTTGGGAGCAGTTGAGTCCGACGCCAACGCCAACGTCGCTGCTGCCACTGGAAATGTGTTACAGAGTGTTCTACAGCTGTGAGCTGTGGCTGTCTGCGTCTCTCTGCTTGTCTGTCTGTCTCTCTTTCGCCTCTTGTCGGTCACTTCTTTTTAAGTTCATTATAAGTGCGTTGCCATATGCGAATAAATTGCAAGCAAGTGTGTGTGTGTGTATGTATGCATATATCCGAGACTGCCAAACTGTAAACTTATTATGCTGACCAGCGGCTTCAAACTGTAGCTACATATATTTACAACTTCTTGCACTAGTTGTTGTTGCTGGAGCAAATTAAACTGGCATGCACAACTTTTGTAAAAAGCGACTCCAAGTAAAAAGCAAAAACATATACATATATACTATATATGTATGTTTATGCGTTTGTAGAGGAAAAGTAGCAGGCAAAACAAGTTGATGATTCTAAGTGGTTAAAGAAGTTGAAAAGTCACAAACTGGACAAAAGTGAAGAGGCGCGCCAGAGGCGGAGAGACTGGCATGAAGGTAGCGCCAGGGTATGTATGTACATATATACATATATACATATATATATATGTATATATGTATATGTGGTAAGTAACAAGCAGCTGTTGACTGAAAGTTGTGCAAGAAATTCTCCTGCAAGTTTCTCCATTTGCAACCCAAGTTGTATAGGAAGAAGTGCGAAAGAAAAAAGAAACAACAACAACAGAAACAAAACTGCAGCCAAGAATGCGAATGAGAAGAGAAGCAGCGCAAGCCCGCTGCGCTTTTGATTAAAGCGCAGAGAGCATCCACATTCAAGGCAGCGCCCAAGTGCGAGCGAGACGGTGAGAGGCAGAGAGCGAAGGTGAGGGGATCGACCGCCTAATTGAGTGAGCTCTTTGGCTAAGCAAAGATACTCAGCTGTGATTTACAGTTTTAATTGCAAGCAGAGTTGCCAAAGCAAGAAAAAACAACAATTGAGATGTTTTCATAATTAAAACCAGATTTGTATCAAAATGGAAGAAAGTTTCAAATACTAATTAAGTGTGTGTGTGTGTGTGTGTGATATAAAAATATATATAACTAAAGATATATATATAATTTTAATTAAATAATATTAAATATATATGTACATATGTACATACATATAATATGAATATATGGAACTGTTCCATTAGCAATTTTTATACCGTATACATATCTATCTTTTTCTTCTCTGTCTCCTTTAGGTGTCTTTCCTACTAGATTTTTCATTGCCTCCTTCTATTCAGTGCTATCTCTTTCAGACTGCCTCACCCCATTAGTCTTCAATTCCCTTTATCTTCCTTTTTCCACATATATCGTTCTCTCTCACTCACTTCTCGTCAATCTACCTCTCTTTCTCTCTCAATCTGTCTTTGCATCTCCCCGTTTCCATATCCTTCATTCAACTCATCTTCATTGCTGTTTTATTATCTTCGCATTTTTTATCTCCGACTCTTTCCCGTTTTATCACTCGCACTCCTTCCATCGTCTGCTCTTCAGCAGCTTCATGTCCCTCATTCCCTCTCTGTCACACTTTCTCGCTCCCACTCTTTGCCTTTCTCTCTTGATCTTTGTTTTTGTCATCTATCTCTTTTTAACTTTTTTCAAAATCCGCCTCTCTCTCTCTCTCTCTCTCTCTCTCTCTCTCTCTCTCTCTCTCTCTCTCTCTCTTTATGCTACTTTTTCGCTGTATCTAACCAATCGCTGCACTGCATACCATTTACTGTTGCTTTCAGTCAACATTAAAAATTCCGAGCCATGTCATAATCATTGTGGAATTTTCAACAACAGCAGAAGCAGAAGCAGCAGCAGCAGAAGCAGCAGCAGCGGCAGCAGCACACCTGATTTCACCTTTATGCCACTTCATTTTCAACACTTTGCAATTGGCCCACGACTAAACATATATTGCGAATATATAAACAAAAGGCCAAAACCGAAATTTCAGACATGCCGTTAAAAACATGCATAATTCACACATACATATATACACACATGTAAATTGAAAGAGACAGCAAGATAGAGAGAGAGAGAGGGAGCGAGAGAGGCTAGCAACAATGTTCTTTTTGTGCCAGTCGAAATTATGAAAATCCTTGACCCCAATATTAAGCGAGACGAAGCTACTAAAAAGCAACAACACTTATATAAACGTAGATATACATATATATATATATATATATATATATGTAAATATATATGTACATACATATCTAAAAGATAATGAACTCGATAAGTTTCTGTCGGCCGTATGTCTATTAAAGCCAAACGAGCTGAGCTCAGCAAAAGCAACTACAACTACAATAACAACAATAACAACAACAACAACAAGAAATCGTCTTCTCATCATGTAATGGAGAAATTTTGTTTTCATTTCTTTTGCTTTTTGCCGTGCTTCGCTCTCTTTTGGCTACGCTTTTCGGGGCCAAAAGCAGAAGCCAATAACCTTGAGGCAGGTTTTTCACATGGGACAAACGATGCGACGCGACAAAGACAAACAAAAAGCAAAAACAGAAAAAAACAAAAACAAAATCAAATATGATGTGTACTATGTAATAATAAAAATATAAGGTCTCTCTCTCTCTCTCTGTCTGCCTCTCTCTCTCTCGCTTTCTCTCTACTGTGCTATCTATCGAGCGTGTACTTATTATGCAGAAGGCAGCTCGCTCAGTGGGCGTGGCTGCAGGCAACGCTATAAATGTGTCTGTGCTGCAAATGCTTTGATTATAATAGACAAACACACACACGCACACACATGCGTATTATTTACCTACAGAGTATAAAAGTTGAGGAAGGATTGACTTGAGCTGAAATCATTTTATCAGCAGAAGAACATATAACATATATAGACTCTATAAGCGATATAATTAATACATATATATGTTTGTAGTTTTAAGATCAAGCTCATTTTATGGCACATTTCAATTAAATATTTTCTACATATATTCATATAACCAGACATCTATGTATTTTTATTTTTACTTTTTTTTCACTCCTTGTAATATTTTAATATTTAATTCATTATATTTGAAATTAGCTTTCCATATCAATTTAATAAACTATATATGCTCTATATATGCTCTCTACTTAATTGCCGCTAAATACCTTTCTATGCGCTTCTCATTCATCAATAAATCCAGGTTAATTAATTGTGCGAAAAAGAAACCAAAAGATAGATTCGAATTACAGCTCCGTCCGAGTTACGGATATTTTGCACGAAAACAAAATGATTTCTAGGTCATTGACAGAAAGAAATGCCACCACTTGGCCTAAACGAAGACGGCCTGTACACACAAACACACACACACACGCACACAGATATACACATTCGGCTTGCTATTGTTGCTGTCGAAGAACATTAATCATTGCCAGTTAAACAATAAGAGGCACAAACAAGTGGCATGTGGCATGGCCAAGGGAGAGACGGTGCCCATATTGTGTGTACATAAGAAAAGTGAAACCCAATGACTGTCAAACTGCTTGGCCTGTGCGTGTGACGAACAATGATGAACAAGCACAACCAGACAGAGAGAGAGAGAGAGAGAGAGAGAGAGAGAGAGAGAGAGAGAGAGAGGGAGCGAGAATTAGAAAGACTGTATGTGATTGGTGTGGGGGGTTGAATGAAAATAAAGCTTTGCTTTGCTGGAGTACAGCCTGTTGAAAAGGTCAGAGTTGATGACACAACAAGAATTGGTTAAGTGTTCTTTTTGCTTTTAGCCAAATTGTAGGCTAAATGCCCTTCACCAAGCATCAAGTGTATATGGAAGACAGTGAGAATGCGCTTGAAACTTGAACTGATTATCAGATATATAGGGTTACAAGCGCGAGGTATATCATATAGATTAAAGATAAGCTAAGAAACTGCATCAAAATGGAAATGGAACTGTAAGAAGAACAAGAAGATAGAGCTTAATCTTGTAAGCAATATGTAATATTGTAACTTAAAAATAAAAAAAGGGATAAAACTTCTTCATAAAATATATAATTATAGCGATTAACGGACTGAAGTCGGAACATTTATCGATATATTTATATGTTTCATGATGAAACTTTACGATAATACATATTCAAGAAAAATTTGAAATATTTTTGTAGAATACTACAGTTAAAAGTTAGATATCTGCAAACACAGAAAAGAAGCGGAATGAAAATCGATAAATGTATCGAAGAAAATATATTAATATATGCTATCCAACGGAGGCTCATTTATAATACTTAATGTATATATAACATATATATGTATAAGTATTTTGATCGATTTTTATATTATTATATGGATTGCTATAAACAAATGCTTTGAGCTCCATATAACTGTTCTTTAAATAAAATGAACCTGATAGTACTTGATTCGAATGTCAACTTATAAACGCTACAATGTTTACGCCAAGCATAACAAACTTGTTGACCAGATTGTCGAGACACACGCCCCGCTTTAGGGCATTAAAATTGTTAAGAGAAGGTCGACATTTATGTGTCGAAGGTTGATGAGTGTCAGTGGAGACAGCGTACGGACAGCACCACACTGAGCAAAAGAGAGAGAGAGAGAGAGAGAGAGGGGGGCGTGGGTGGGTGGCAGTGCTGACGAATTGCAGACTGAAGAATGCGGCGACCCTTTTAATAAGCAGCGTCGTCAGTTTTCAAACATGGTCCGGGTCCCAGTACGGGTCCGGGTCCCAGTCCGGGTACGGGTCAGAAAAATGTCATAAACGTCATCGGGCGAGCGAATGCGGCTCGTAAACTTTAAGCTTTTGTTTGTTTCTATGGCTTGTAGAGAATAAAATGAGCTACGACAAGGGGGTGCTTGGTGCTTGGGTTCGCAAAAAGTGAAATCTATAATAAAATTTTCCATTTTACACTTTTCATTTGGGGTAGCGTGAGCGCGCGCGCTCGTAAGACAATGTCAATGCTTTATCTACACCCACTCGCACCGGCACCGACTTTTCGCACGCTTTAAAGGCTGTTAAAATTTGCCTCAAGTCGATTTTAGTGACTCGTCATAAATTTCCAGTCAAGTTGCTTTATCAATGCAACACGCAATGGAACTCACCGACTCGCACATAACTTTCGCTTGAACGACCAGCAATTGGAATTATAAACTCAGGCATTATATATATGAATGTTGTATATATATGGGGGTATGAATTATACTACTTAACACTCACGCTGCCGCGAGAAAGTCGTTTATCTATTCAGAAATGCGCTCTTGACTCACCTGCAAAGAGATAAGAGTAAAAAATAAAATTTTAATTTACATTGATATGAATTAATATTAATATTAGACTAGTAAGAACTCATATACTCCTTTCACTTTCGTGAATGAGTATAAAAAATGCAAATATAATATATATTTATATAGAAAAGAAAAATATCGTGACACAATGGGGGTTTCTACGCGGACTCTTGGATATACCTAAATGCATATATCTAACTTATATACCATTAATTATATATATATCACTATCTAATATAATATCTAGGGTTCAACAATATGCAAATTTATTTTGCATTTTTTTCTTCCTCTGCGCTTAGTGAAAGGAAGTTCGTTCGATGTGGTTATGTAAAGTCTGATTAAAAAAATGCATATTTAATTAGCAGTCGATGACGCAAATCGCTTTGGGTTTATATCTTATTGGTATAGCCAAGCTAAATATTAACCTGTTTTTTATTGTATTGCCAAAGTAAATAATTTTAATATTATAAGCTGTAGAGCAAAATATATTTAAATATGTGCAAAATTATAGAACTGGAACTGTCCTTTAATCGCGGAATTAATCTTTTAAAGAGATCTATATATTACCTTTTTCCTTTATTTTTCTCTTCTTCCTATTCTTTTGCTATGAAAAACTGGTTTGAATTACACGGAACTGTCAATTTCAAAGTTGTTTTTTTTTTTTTTTTTAAATAGGGATGAAAACTTTATTTTCAAGATGTCTAGTAAGGAAAGTTGTTAAAATAATGAGGAAAATACGGAAGTCTACTTTGATCACTATTTTATACATTTAGCAACATTTTCGTTGTAAACATCAATATATATTTTATATATAAATACAGTAGAGTCCCGATAATTCGAAATGGCAAGGGGATCCGTTTATTTGATTCAGTTTACACAGAATTCGAAGTTTTCGAGTATTATTGAGAGCGAAATTCCTTCAGGGTGATCGAATTTTTTCGATTTATCGCGATTTTCGATCTATCAGGGTACGAATCATCGAGACTCGACTGAATATGTATGTATGTATATAAATCACAATATTTCGCCTGTGCTCTAATCGAATAACTCCCAATCTTATCTATGAACTGAGCTTAAGTTATAAACAAACGTACGTACATAAATTATAAATCTGATAAAACCATAAGAGTTTGAGCTAATAACCTGAGTGGGGTATATGTATATGTATGCATATGCATATATTCCACAAATGAATCACTATTGAGCCACTCCATAGTTATATCTATAAATATATTTAGCCTTATGCAGTCATTTCTTGATTATTCATTTATAAAATCTCCCACGAAATATTTAATTACATTAAAAATATATAAACTCAAATGATCATTAATCAAATAATTCTCTTACTCAAACAAAACCGCTTAATAAATCTAGTTAATTTATTCAAATACTATTTGTAATATTATAAGCTAATCGTAGAATTGTATCGCTAAATGAAGCAACGTCTATAATATATGTATGTATATATACTAATACTATATATAAGGTAAACAAAAGTTTAGTATTTTGTCAAGCTTCATTAATTTAGCCAATTGTTTGGTCAAAAGAATGCACAGTTATAAAGAATCATCGAAAAGAGGACATGCGAAATGTATATACACAGAGTAAAACAAATAAAATGAAGGCCCAAAAGAAAAGAGGCAAATGCAGCAAGTGAGAAAGATAGATAGATATCATAAAAAGTCAGCCAGGGATAGTATACATACATATACATATATATATATCTCTATATATACATATATGTGTGTGCAGAGCGAACCAGTTATGGGCGCTATTATTATAGAGTTTTGCGGTTAACCAAAAAATTAAATGGTATTCCAGTGAACTGAACGTGGTTTGGTGAATGTGTTTTCAGTAGAGCACATTTAGATTATGCATGCACAATACATATATACATACATACATACATACATACATATAATATATATAGTACTTTATAAGCAATTTAAATCTAAACATTTTTCTTTTTCGTAACCACAAACTGATAAGCGATTGTATAATACGTGTGTGGCATGTGTGTGTGTGTGTATGTGTGTGCGTGTGTATTTGACAACTTATCAGCTAGTGCAAATAAAAACACAGAAGCTATAGACACAATCGCACAGATATAGCTATAGTTAGCTATAAAGAGCCCGCCCGAGTTTTACAATGAGTAAAAGCAAACGCAAAAACAAAAATTCACTTTGCCTTGGACTTTGTCGACCCAAATTTTTAACTGGAATTTATTTTTTTACTTTACTTTGATTTAAAGGCATATACATATATACATAGATATGTATACAAATGCATCTGAATATCTGCCTGGGCTTTATGCAGATTCAAATATGTTGATTTTAGGCTATAAAATTCGGCATACGAATGGAAATCGAATCATGGCTATCAATTATATATTTTCATTTGTCATTTCCACATTTTCCATCAACATTTTCTTACTTCACTCTGTCCTCTGCCACTGTGAAGTAATTTTTTTTTGCTCTATTTTAAATTTTATTGATCAAACTGCGTGTGCAACAACAATAACAAGGGCAACCGGATTTTCATACACTAAACCCATTAAAATTAGGCAAATTGAGGTTAGAGGTTCCTCTTTTTTATTGTGCGAAGAAGAAATCAATTTTCAAGGTATATATATCCTAACGTCTCCTAAATCCACCTGAATTACAAAAAAAAAACATCTACTTAAATTGTGTGTAATTAGCATGTGATGTTGATGACAATACTATACAAGATATGCAGTTGATGCTGGCAATAATAATGATCATGCCAATGGATATCAATAGAGGAAATTAGACGAAATTAATCATTATAATCATTCATAATATTTACTAATATTTATTATTTATAGTAATAAGAATTTAATATATGTATGAGTAGTTATAATATTGATAATCAACACAATGAAAAATCAATTTTATTTTCATGGTAATTGAGGTAAATAAAAAA